CATCTGTGGGGAGAAAGAAGAAATGTCTGGAGGTTTTGTATGTTTTTTTTTTTTATTTTAATACTTTGTCACAATTTGCCTGATAGTTCTTATTTCAAGAATATTTTCAGTGAAGTCTGTAAGGAATTATCAACATAGAAGTTTCAGTGTACTTTTCTAAACAAATCTCATTTGCCATAGGTATCTGCAGTTGAAATGTTTATTTTTCAGTAGCAGCAAATGATACATCTTTGTAAAAAAAAAAAAAAAATCTAAAAGCATCTTATTTAAATATTCATAAAACCTTTTATACAATTAATTTAAAAAAAATCAAAATGGCAATACAAGATGCAATAAGTGATTCCTTCATTCTCCTATGAAGCTAAACTTGCTCATAAATGTAAACTTGGATAGAAAAGGAAAAGTGATAAAATATTTATAATAGAGAAGATAGAATTACAGAAACAAAATGTACACATATAGAAGGACCAACTTTCTGCTAACAGAATCACAAAAGTGTAAATCTGAAATGGGATCTGGCTTTCCATGTAATTTTCAACAATAAATAACAAATTAATCATTTGGTAGTCTTTCAAATTCATTTTATCTATTCTTACAAAGCTTGATAACACTTTCTCTCTGATTTTGTTGTTAAAAAATGATCATGCTTTAGTAAATAAACATACAAATATAGTTATATTAAAATTTGTTTTTACAAATATTCACCACTCTCCCACCCACCCAAGACTGGAACAAAATTAAGAAAATTTCTACATTGATTATATTTTTAAAATAAAGGTGGTTATTGATTTTCTGAGAAAAACTTTGGTTAGCCCTATTCAGATCTATTCTTAAAAAGTTCTGTAATTTTCAAACACTTGAGTAGCTTTGTAGTTTATTGCTAGAGTGGACACAGAAGGCAAATCAGGTAATAAGTGTTGGCACAAAAATTGAATGAGATAGATGTTTATCACAACATAAAAAAAAAACAAAAAAAAAAAATTTTTTTTCTTAAGAACTTATACGCAAGGACTTTCATTACTTTGCATTCATTTCTTTTACTGATATAGAACTTTCACAAACTTTACAAAATTTTAAACACCTTATAAGCTTGTTTTATTATTTGTTAAACTTGAACCGTTTTCATTTTTGTCTCTACCTCAACCAATTTCTACACCAATACCTGTTACTGGATTCATCTATCCTCCCATGTCTGTTTTAGAAATAAACTGTCATCAACTCCAGCTTGTCTCCTATGTAGCTATGTGCAGTCGTATACACTACCACACATGAATTTATAATTAAATCATTTTTACTATTGTAAATATTTTAAAATTTAAATAAAAAATTTGTTAATGCCACATTATTTACTAACAGTACTTTCAGATTTTTTAAAGATTTCATTTCATTTTTGCAACATCTTGATCCTGCGTTTCGGATATGAAAAAGGAATATACTGCCTAGATGGATACATCTGGTTAATATAATAAATTACCAATGATCTCAGTCTCAAAAGCCCCTCTTAAAAAATTAAAAAGAAAAAGACAAATGACACCTGTATCTAAAATTTGTGCTAAAGCAAGGGTAGAATAATCTTCTGGTGATGTGATGTTTTATAAATTCTGTTGTCATAGTGTTGACATTCTTAGGGTTGACAATCTAAAATCAGCTTTCTAAAAGTCATCTACACTAAAATAGAAAACAATTACAACTTTGGTGCTGTCTAAAGAATACGTCTACACAAAATTATGTCAATTATAGTAAAGTATTGCAAGAAAGGTGGTGTTATCCCAAGTGTAAATGTTTGTTAGGCTTTGCTCCAAAAGCTAAGCCTGCCAATGGAAAGTATCATAGCAGACAAAACAACCAACTGCCATAACTACAGCTTTTTGAATGTGATTGCAAGCATTCATAGGGTGTCATTTCTTAATAATGTTCTAAATATGACAATATAATCAACAGAGTCAAGCATGTATCTGGGCCATAACTCATATTGATAATGCATTTGAGGAAATCATTGCATTTGTATAAGATTCAACAATTTATTGTTAAAAAAAAAAAAAAAAAAAAAAAAAAAACTTATATGGAAGTGTTGTAAAATGTGCTTACTAAAAATTTCCATGTATTGTGCTTAGCACACATTTTAAATCCTGTTGGAGAATTATTCTCACATGGGTCAGCATTTGATAATATTGCCTAACTTACTGCTTTCATCAAGTCACGCTTTTTCAAAAATACCTGGCCAAGAACAGTAATAGTTGAAATGGCTTGTAGGCTCTGCTTAAGTAATGGAAGTTATGGTTTAATGCAAGGGTTGGCAACCTATGGCCCGCGGACCGGATCCGGCCCGCAAGCCCGATTACCACTGACTATATTTTTAACATGAGAGACGACCTTCAAATGAAATTTGTTATTTGTCATTTTCCATAGAATGTCTACATATCTCAGTGCACTGAAAATATTAGACTATCTGCCAGTTATCTTTCATGAGTCTTATTTTTACCAAGTTAATAAGAATTATGTTTAATGTCAAATAATGGATACATATTTGTTATGACCCTTGGCTACATTAAATGATAACAGAAGCGAAAGGAATGATAAAGTGAAAGCAGCCAGGGAGGGACTGACATGCGACATAGCAGAAATCTAAAGATAGTTAAACATACGCGCAATATACATACATGCCTCATGAATGTGTGGATGATACCGCATGTGTACGTACATAAGTGTATATGTTTGCAACTATTTGTACTTGTATGTATGGGTATATGTGCTTCGTTTTTGTTTGATGTGTGTGTGTGTGTGTGTGTGTGGAACAATTTTCAATAACAGTTTCAAACCTACACATGATAATTTCATCCATTTCACTTCAGTTGATTTTGAAGTATTTTGACGTTCCTTAAGAAAAAGTAATTTTTGTTAGGTGTTTTTTAATTTTAGATTTTCTTTTGTCTTTCTGATTTCTCAATGTTTATTTTCATTATGGTTTTAAATATTTAGGTTGACAGGGGTCTGCATATATAATTTTCTTTAATTTTTCATTAATGGCCTTCGTCCAGCCCGTGACCCGTCATTATAACACAATCCGGCCCGCGGGGTCGAATGGGCTGCCGACCCCTGGTTTAATGCAACCAAATCTTACTAATCATATGTGTAATTTCATGAAGGATTCTTTAAGCAAGAAAAGAGTCATATACTGGCAGGAGACAGGATTCTGGAAATAGTAATGATGGTAAACTACACCATACATCATACCATAGTTTGCACCTCAATCTGGATATCATTAATGAGAATTACACTCATTTAATGACCTAGGAAATGATAATCATCTGTCAATTAAAAACACATGGAGAATCATCTTAAATTTTCAAGATATTTTCAGAACATCACTTTCAAAGGTCTTCTGGAATGGATTGCCAAGAATATTTGTCTTTAAAGAAGTAATCTCTGATTAAAATTTTACTTGAAAGATGCACATCAACATTCCTTTGTTTTATTATCAAATCATATTAGTTTGTTTTTACTTTTACATGTAATTTGTTTTTTTGATTTTAATTTATTTCCATTGGTTTTAATTTTTAGTAAATATATCTGCTATTTATTTATATGTCATAAAACTTTGAATGTTTTTGTTTTCCCTTTTTTAATATTAATTATATTTTATTGCAATTTTCCCATGAAATATAATCAAAATGATAAAAATGGAATTTATTAAAAGTGAAAATGAAAAAAGAAATGGGAAATCAGTGCCCCTACACATAGCATCTTATAAAAATGTTCTCTCTACACCATAAAGATAAAACTAAACATTCTTCGGATTTTAAGAAAAGAAATGTCAAACATTAACAGAGAAATTAAATTGGATTCTTATAAACATGTGCCAGAATAGTTTTATCCCATATATTATCAACTTCTTGATGACAAATTATAAATAAATAAATATAAAAATTTGGATCTTTAAACAAAAGGAGACAAAGAATCCTGAATAGCCACCCTTGCAAGTGATTGAAATTAGTTCCAAAAAGAGATGTTTCCTAACAAAAATATTTCCTATATAGATCAAAAGATGAAATCTAAATGAGAAATTTCAAATATTTTTGAAGGAAACAATTAATGACAAAACAATAAGATGCTTTTTAGTACAGGAGAATACATTAGTTTTAAGAAATCGAGTATGACTAAGCATTTTAACCAAAAATGAGGTTGAATTATCTATAACAATATTAAATATTGTTTTTTAAGTATTATTTGCAGGTTTAAATCACCATGTCTATCAACTGATAAGGCAAGATTTACAATGGTATTTAATGGAACACTACTCACTGTAACTTATGACTCACTCCATTAGGATCTATTTCAAATTTCAACAGATAATAGAGCACATTGGATACAATTTAAATGTATGATGTGCTGGAAAATTCTCAGTTTAAACCCCTACATAAAATCTATATTCTGATGTTTGATAATTGATCCCAGAAAAAGTGATTCAGACAGAGTACTTTTCAGCACCCCCACATACATCTTATGTGTTAGTACATTTAAAAATACATAAAATTTAGGTGATCTCCCTTGTTTTGCCATGACAACTAAGATAAACTTCATTTTTACCACATTTGTTGTTGTTTTTTTGTTTTGTTTTTTTTTTTACAAAAACTCTCTCCCAGCAAATGTTACTTTTGTAAATGCTAAAAGAAAATTATACTAGCTCAGAAAGAATAAAAAGGGAAATAGATTCTAATTACAATCAACTAAAACTTTTGTTATGAATAAATTTTTTAAAAATATACAGCCCAAAATGCTTTGCTTTTATTTTTTCATTTGTTTGAAGGATTTTTCTCCTACCAAAAACATCTATGCATAAAATATCAAAATGGAAAGAAATATCCTAAAATGTTGAAAGTTTCACTTCAGCAGGAACTATTTATTGCATTCATGACTGAATCATGACATTTGCATGATAAAGCTGAAATCTGACAGGTTTTCATAAAATTCCAATTGAATTTAATCAAAAATATACTCACCTTGATCATGTCTGTCAGAAAACTTCAAAATTGTCCTATTAATTGCTTTTGCTGCAAATACAGAAATGAAAAAGGTAATTAGACTAAATCATAAAAGAAAATTAATACATATTCAACATAGTTTTATATTGAAAACTAGCAGTAGAGCCCGGCATTGCCCGGGGATGTAACAGTAAGAGATAGATCAAGTATCGACTATCATAAAGACTGAAAAATAAAATTGACAAAGATTATTGTTTAAGGTTGACGGACACGCATGTCTTAAATATATTTTTTTTTTTTTACGAATTGGTCAAACTCAAACAAAAACATTGTTTACAATCGTTATGAGTATATCGATTGGTGAATAGAATTTTATTATAAACAATTGTCTTGTAAATGGAATTTTTAAAGCATTCTGAATGTAAATAAAGAAAAAAGTGTGCAAGACAATAAGAAATACTACCTGCCAAAAAAAAAGTGGATGTTTGTTTTATCGGCTGAAAAATGTAAGAAATCCGATCCCATATATAAAGGAACACACACATAGTCTGATGAAAAAGACGCTAAAGTTTATGAAAACAAAATTTTATCGTCAAAATGCCTATGTTTTTATGAAGAGGATAGACTAAATTTTTTTTTAATTATTTTTAAAATTTTTTCCATCTTTTAGAATATTCTAAATTTTGATTTAAAAAACCTTGTTTCTCTTTTGTCGCAACAAGGGGTAGTAAATAACATAGATAATTTTTTAGCGCATTTTTTGTATTTTTACACATTAATTTGGAAAATCTTGCAAAAATAAAAATAATTGTCAGATGTTAATGAAACTTTCAGAAACTATTCACAGATGATCGAAATTATTATAAATATGTTTTTTTTATTAAAGTCATGGCAGAAATATTTTTTTATATTTATTAACACCCCCATAACTAATTTTATGAAAAACTCTAGAAATTCGAGACCATCGGTTTTAGTGATTACAATAGTTAAAAGCACAAGGCTTTGAAGAATGCAAATCATGTATTTTTTTTTTTTTTTTTTTGGCCAACGTACCTGAAAATCAGCTGTGAATTGTAACATACAAAACTCAATAAAACAAATATATTATTTAGTTTCAAATGCTTTTATTTGTTTTAATTTGTTTTTATGACTATGGACAATATTTTCTGGAAGCAAAAAATTTTTTGAATTTTTAATACAATTATTTCTTATTTCTTTAATTTTAAAAAGATTTTTTAAAAATGTTTAAATTGAATTTTTAAAAAATATTTTAACATTAGTTAAATGCAACATCAACCTTTCAAAATGTCCGTGTGAGATTGTCATTGTCTAGCGCTTTGAAAATTGTATAATTTGGACCAATCAGATTAGCCATGGTAATTAAGAAATGTAATTTTGTGTTTATAGTCGGACAGTAATTATCAAGTACGGAAGACCAACAGAATACAATTTAGTTGCATTATTTGAGTTCAGCATTGTTCTCTGCTGTTAAGCCCTTTACTTTTTATGCGAAAACACGTATGGAGAAGTTAATTTGAGTTTTCAATTTCAACTGAGAAGGGTACCTACAAGTAACAGTATCATCTTATGAAATTTAACTACTGCTAAAAGTTTAATTCATATGATTTTATTTTTATATTAATCTCAGTTATGACATTTTTTCCATAAATGAAATATCAAAATTAATAATAAAATGAATGGAAATACAAATAACACAGTAAAATGTAATAAATGTACATAAAATTATAGTATTTTATGTACTTCTGATAAAATTTCATAAGAAAGGTACCTAAATTAATTAGATACCTTTTTTCTTATGAAATTTAATCTCACTATTAACAGTCTTATTTTTTTAATTTCTTTATATTTTCCATAAAGCATCGTAAACGTAAAAAATGAAAGCTAAGTACAAAAAAAAAAAAAAAAAAAAAAAAATTAGAGTGCTGAAAGTTTTCCTTAAAAGTAACGAGGTAAATAATTTGTTCACTTAAATAATTTCACTTCCTTTTATCCGTAGAAAGAATTACCCTCCCGTAAGTTATCTAAACGTCATGAATGTGCCTTTCGTCAATCGTCATGAATGTGCCTTTCGTCAATCTGCTTTGTTTTATTTTCAAATTACATTTTTTCGGCACAGAAGCTAAGTTAAGCTTGGTTCAAAATATTTTAAATAAACAGTATAATATCTGTTTTTATTAAAATCAGTTTTGAAAAAGTGATAATTGACTTTAAAAGAATATCAAAGTAAGATTTTAATCTTTTTTTATCAAATCGAAAAAAATGATTGAAAATGATTATCTGTCCTTTTTTTTTTTTTTACCAAAAAAAAAAAAAAAAAAAAAAAAAAAACTTATATTTTTAACGAAAATTTCAGACATGCTAGGAACGATTAAAAAATGTAAAAAAATACCCCAAAAATACTTTGATCTTTCCTCTTTAATAATAATATGAACATTAGACGATAAAATTTTGTTTTCGTCAAGTTTGGCGTCTTTTTCATCATGCTATGCTCTTTTTTGTTTACATTTTCATGGGTGAGTTGTCCCCTTTCATTCTCAATGATGTGTCTTAATCGTGTTTTCAAATTGATTTTCTTAAAAACAACTGTGTTTTTCCCATTTTTGGTGCCATTAGAACCACCAAAAGGTAATTTTATGTAGTCCTGTGAAGTTTTGTTGAAATCGGCTAAAAAAATGTAGGAAATTCGATCCAACATATAAACGTTACAGACACACACACACAACCTGCGTTTTATAATAAGTAAGATATTATTGAAACAAGTCACGATGGTGAATAAATATTCCAGCAAAAATAAAATTACTTAAATTTATTGAGAAAGTTACCTAGACTTGTGTACTACTGCATATTTGTAGCATGACAGCTTCTTATATTTAATCAGAATAAAGGAACAATTTTCATTGTGATGTATCAATAATCCAGACAAAATTATGAAGTTGTTACTTTTTGAACATTTTTTAAATTTCATTCAAGTAATTTTGATCTTATAATAAGCCCACACACTATTACTCTTAAAATATATTTAAACTATAAAAATTCTCTAGATCAAATTAACACCTTTTTAATTGAATAAATTATTAGTAAGTAAAAATCACATATTTCATTTTCAATTAATTTACTTAAGTTTTGGTTTTATCTGGAGTAAATAAAATATTAGACTTCCTCTAATTATATAAACTTATTTTATCTATAATCTTATATAGATTTTAATGATGAAAATTTATAAGGACTGTTACTACTCATAATTGTAATTTCCAATTTAAAAATTTTATATGCATCTGTCTACTACTTTGTAAATATAATGTACAGAGAAATTAATGAAATACAATTTAAAAGTTGTGAATATATACGAAGTTAAGAAGAACTGTTAAATGGCATATTTAAGCTTGAAAATCTATGAATTTTGCAAGAATAAAATGATAGTAGAATGAAAAAGAATGACTGAGGTTATGATGACCTTTACTTAAATCTGCATCAAGTCAATATATAACTGTTTAAAGAAAAAAAAATTACTCTTTAATAATAATGAAATTTTAAGTAAGATTTGGCCTCACCAATCTTCATTTAATCTTTTCAAGTCTAATTATCCACTATGTTAAAATTAAATATAAATTTTTTTTCATTTATTTAAAATAATATTTTCAATATATAAATGTGTGAATTAATGTAAAATAAATCAATTATTATAGTTTAGAAATATAAACTTTGGCAAGTAATGTTTTACAGGCACTTAATGCAAACAGGCAGTAAACTTTTGCTTTGAACATCCTGTAAGCAAAATATTATAAGATAAATATGCCAAGAATTTTATGAAGTGTTTTTAAGTACATTTCAGATATTAAGCCATATGAAAATGGGCCAAAACTAAAGGATTTGTAAATTTATCATTCCTTATGAAGCAAATATTACACTGAAGAGAATACTTCAAGAATATTGTAAACAATTCCAGTTTAGCAGCAAAACCACACCTGGATGTGTTACAGTGTGTGAGAAGTATTCTTTATTTTAAAACAATAAGAGAAATGAAATGAAATTCTTATTCCAACTACAAGAAATCATCTTAAAAAGTGCAGATATTAATTTTCCAGATGTGTGAAGTTACGTAAATGAACATTTTATTTCAATAACAATTTAGTTTCTCAGCGTCAGAATAATAAATAAGAAAAATAAAATTCTGATTGTCAAAAATGTTTGACTTCATGTTATTTAAAAACATTTTTTTTTTAATATAAAAAGCAATTACTTGAAAAATAAAGGAGATTATTATTATTATTATGTTAATGTACTAAACATGTTACTTAAGTCATAGTAAAATGAGAAACAGTAAAAGTGAGAAATTGGACAGAAAACTACTTATTTTACTGTTATTTAACAAGAGAAAGAATGAATATAGACCTCATAAGATACTTTTAAAATCTTATACACCAATTAAACACTCTTTAAAGGATAAAAATAGAATAAAACATATTTAATAAATGTGTACATCAAAGCTATGAACACATACAAGGGATGGAAACATGCAAATCACAGGTTCAAAATTGCTAATACATTTTAAGCATACTTCAGGCCAACTGTTTAAAATGTCCAAATACATATCGCCTTAGCTAGAGATTGAATGAGGAGAAACTGATCTGTTTTATCACTATGAAAAAAAAAAAAAAGCCTAAAAAGATACAAGAAATGAAAATGAAAACAGAAAAGGTTAGCTAAATGCATGAAGGAAAGTGTGTAAAATGTATATACCAATATGACCTATTAACATTTAACAACATTATCTCAAAGATTAAGTATCCTACATTAGTATCACATTTTTCAACAATGTTTCACAAACCAATATATTGCAAAAGAGAAACATGGTTATCTTGGCCTATCTGCATAGAAAAGCTTCTATATAAAAACACAAAATTATGTATAAATATATACATAATTAAATACATTTATTGAAAAATTATAAAATACAACCCAATAAGAAAAGAAAAGGTTCTTTGAAAATAATTATTAAAAGTTTTTATATATATATATATATATATATATATATATATGAGTAAAAA